TCTTATTTATAAATCTAAATAGTACAGCCAGTATAATGATAAATCTGGATATTATATAGATTAGTTATTAGTTAGTAAAATACCACAATATACAAGACATATGTAGCTGCTTATGTATTATTATTGTTAAATGTGTGTAAGATAATATTTTTATTCTATTCTAATTAGTAATTACTAAAATTTTACATTATATAATTAAGCATTATTAATCGTATTCCATTCAATAATAAATGTTATTTTAGTTCATCGGTTTGTACTAAAGCATTATTAGTAACCTAAAAAGTTATGTTTCATTTCCATTGTTTTAATTCGGAAATTACAAAATTATGCATTTTTTATTATTGTTTTTATTTTCTTTAAAGAATTTTAACGTAGTTATTTTTTTATGAAATAATTTTAAAATGTTAAAAAGTGTATAATAAAGACGCGCGTCCSTACTGGATTTGGCTTTGCTAATCGGTGTAAWATGAAACTTTTTGATAATTATTAATAAATACCAAAGATTCGATGTTCATGTGAAAGCTAGCTAAACGTGCCGCTAATAATTCATTCATCCATAAATTGCCCTTGAGAAGAATGGACAAGGGGGAAAATATTCAGATGAAGATGAGGAATAAAAATCAATTGGCTGTCCCTATAATAACTAGATCAATATTGGTAAAGCCGATCCAACTTTATGGAGATGCGTCTTTATATCTATTGTCAATATTTAATCACGAATACGTTTTGTTTGTATAATAAAAAAATATATTTTGAGAGAATGTAAATTAAAAAGGATCCCATACAAACGCATTAGAAAAAACACGTCTTGATTATAGTTATATAGTGGATTTGAAATAAAACTGAATGTGTAAAAAATATGTTAAAGCTCATTTATGTTTGTTTTAATATTAAAATAAATTTAACCATTGTGTTATTAAAATGGTTGTGTTGTGAACATACAGATTTGCTTTAAATACAATTATTTATTATTACAGTACGCTGCAGTTTTTTATCCATAATATTTCACCCAAAAATAATTGAACAACTGAATATATAATATACGTACGTGCCATCAAACGTAAATTTATTTTGTTGACATTATAGCAAGTGTTTATTAACTTTGATCGGTATAAAAAGACAGAACAACCAAATATTGCCATTTCATTGTAATTGGTTTTCGTTG